GAAGGCTTGTGAGAGAAGCTTGTGGAGCCGGCGTCTATACCCGGAACTAGGTCCCACAATCATCAAGCGCTTTCTCTCTGGCGCGGTCTCTCTAAGTAGTGGCATAGAGCCACGTCAGAAGGGGGCGGGGCCAGCTCCGCATAGCGGGAATGCCGAACCCGGAAGAGATGCCGCATGACACTGTCACTATACCCAAGTTGAATTTTTTTTCAAATCCGCTATTTTGGTTTAAATTGTGCAATTTATATATATTTTTTTTTTTTTTTTTTTAATCTTTATTTTGGTGTGCATGGTGATTAGTACATACAAGCTCTTGGTGCCCCAACAGCAATCCTCGAGCATTTTGTCTAGCATTACATTAGGAGCAATAGAGTAATGAGCACATTTTTATATATTAACAGATTCATAACAGGAACATTCTATCAGATTGTGTATAGGGTATAGTTAGTGGGCATTTAGTCACAAATGCTTACTGTCATGTTGTCTGAGATACGTGAGCATTTTGTGGCGGCTGGTGTAAGTAGTATGGTTCGTTTAACCGCTAGTGCCTCTCATGATGGGTCAGCCGTTCCTCCGTGTAGTTAAGCGTGAAATACATGTATATGCAAGCAAAAATATGCCAAGCTTACTGGTTAGCTAAGCAAATGTATAAGAGTTTAGCAAGATGAGTTTAACACTCCACAGGTACTCATACATGTACATCAGGTTTCGGAACAGTGAGAGACAACATCTACGCCTGTTCAGTTGCCTGAGTGAACAGAGAATAATCAGCGGAGAGGCGAAGTGGTGTATTATAAGTATGTCTATACTGCCTCTGTGGTAACTGTGAGTGAGAATATATACAGTTAAGTACCTGCTGGGCTGATTAAAGAAAGGTGGAGTATATCTCTGGTCTGAGTGAGTAAATAATAAGCTGCTGCATGGCGTGCCTAACTTAGACTAGGTTCTCAGTAGCTTGGAGGCAACACTAGATGAAAGAACAAAAACCAAAAAAAAAAAAACCAAAGAGAAAGCATCAAACATGTGTGATTGCACTTTGAGTCTTTCCACCCCGGGGGGACCCCCATTCCAGCAAGATGATAGTCAATGGTTTTGTGCCAGGAGACCCGTTTGGGTAACATAATAATGGCAGAATGACCGCCGTGTTAGTTGTAGTGTGAGTCCCCTTGTGGTATACTTGCGGTTCCATCAAGTGCCTGTCTCGTGCAGGAGGTAAGTCCCATAAGCCTCGTTGTTGTTCATGTGCGTCCTGCGCGGTGATCCTAGAGGTTCAGTATGCGGAGCTATGTAGCTGGAGCACTGTCTCCTCTTTGAGTTGAGCATTTGGCGGTGTTTAGGCAGTAGTTTGCAGGTGTCGACCTCCGTCGGTTGCTTGTGGAGCTGTTTGCGTTGGCTTGAGGTGGCTCCGGCTTCTCCGCCCGTTTGGCTTGGCTCTGGGTGGGTCTTTGCAGGTGCCCGGCGGTTCCCATGTGGCTTGTGCCGGCCTGCTGCCACTGTGAGGTGGGTGCGTCCGTCTTCCGTCTGTCGCGGGTGACTCGACATGCGGTCTCCGCCATTTTGATTGCGGCCTGCGATGTTTGGGGCCCCCCTGCCACAGCTGATGTTGCTGCACACTGACAGGGTTAGGGTGGGGACCGGGATCACCCCCCCGGTCCAGAGGGGGGGGACAGGGCCAGTTCCACCTAGCCTTGTGCTTCGCCCATACCGCTGGTGGGCAGGATAGCAGGGCAGCGGCCGTCCACCCCACTCACCGCCCGAGTGGTCTCCATCGTGGGTGACGGAGAGCGCCCCTCCAAGGGACTAGAACTTTGCAGCAAGCCTCTCCTCGGAACCAGGGTGGCTTCTTGCACTGGGTCGCTGCTGTCAGGTAGGTATTGTCGTTTATGTGCTGAAAAACTGGGAGAGATTGCAGGAGCCACACTATTTTGCGACTGCTCAGCATGGCGGTCCGGCCCCGCCCCTCTTTTTTTTTTTTATACGGTTTGAAGGCTCAAATATGGAGATACATATAATGTTTTAGCTCATCTTTCAGAATGCATTAAAACGTTGAGAGACGTTTTTGCTAAAACAAACTTTTTAAACTTTTTGTATATACAGATACATATATTTTGCTTCTAACAACTGCCAGGTAAACATCAAAACAAAATTTAATCAAAACTGGTTCCGAGCTAACTCGTATAATAACTTTGTTTATGGCTGGACTTTTACCACTTACTTTATAATGATAAACCATCATCCATTTTGTATTGGAAAATTGGTGCGGTATCACAAGGAAAGCGATTGCGCAACAAATGCTAATTGTCAGTCATCAGTTATGGTGATATATAGTACACATGACAAATCCATCTCAGTAAAACCAGCAGTCTAAGTGATTAAACTGCTTTCTCCTGCAATGTGATTGCAATATCCATCATTGTCATATGGTAACATAGATAAACTGACTAAAACAAGCATCTATCAAGTTTCTGGTTCAAATTCCACATTTCCCGAGCCGCCCCCCCCCCCGCCTTCTTTCCTCACCATATACTTCACAACCCAAGCAGCATGCGCTCACACAGCCTATAATCTACACTACCGAGCAGCATACAGATTCCAGTTCTCCATGCCTACCATAACTCACACTACTCAAGCAGCACACTCCATTCAACTCTCCACACAACCACTACCTACATACACCTCCAATAACCCACATAACACAGTCAGCACTCTCACATCTCCATTTCCTACACACACATCAACTATTCCAGTTCTCCACACCTACCATAACCCACACTACTCAAGCAGCACACTCAGTTCAACTCTCCACTCCACCACTACCTACATAGACCTCCAATAACCCATATTACACAAGCAGCACTCTCACTCCAACTCTTCGCACACATTACCTATAACCAACACAACTTAAGCACACAACTTAACTCACAACTCCTATAGCACACACTACCTACACACACACCTCCTTTAGCCCACACTACCTGAGCAGCATGCTGACCCAAACTCTCCACACCTCCCACAGCACGCACTATCTAAATGTTATGCTAGGTGCTCAATCACACACAACTGATCGCTAACACGGTCACTAGAATTAGTCTGTGATGAGTAGTGTTGCTGTTCTGTAGTCTTTTTGGGGGGGGCAAATACATTATGCAGCACTAACTGAGGGAAGCGAAAGACTACAACACCAAGAATGCAATGCTGCACAATGCTGGTGTCAGGGGTCTACCAGTAATGCCATCTTATTCTTGTGAGTAGGGAGAACATGACTGTTTTCCTTCTCCCCTTACAGATGCATTGAAACTCCCTGACTCCCTGCCAGAATGTCTGGACTACATTCTTGTCATGTCTAAATGTAAGAACCTTATCAAGCGCAGTAAAGTTAATAAATTAAAGTCATAATTGTAACAGTCAACTGTTTGTCCAGGAACCACTATCCTAACCGGTTATCATATTATATATTACTATAATCTAACCTCCCATGAAATTTTTCAGACATACCATTCTTTGAGGCTGCAGAGGTTTACTGGGGTTGTGGTCCATTATTAACCATATCTATTATATTCAACAAGGACAATTGAATGTACCATAGATTGACTGGGCAAAGAGAGGCCCATCCGGCCCTACATGGTATAATTTATAGTGACCCCTGCCTACCTGCTATAGTTGTGGGCTTCGGTGGCGTAGTGTGTGTCATTTATTGTCTAAGGAACTGCAGCAAAATCCTGCAGGAGCCACGTCTGATGTCACTATATTGTCCCTGCACAACCTTTGCGGTCACCATCTCTGCTCCTGTTTTATCCCTGCCCTTGCCTCTTCACTTGTTCCAGAGACAATGGTGATAGTCAGGGCTAGGGTGACAAATGCATGGGTAGAGACTCATAATTGAAGCGTAATTATTAAGGCACAAAGGGGATGGTTAAAGAAACAGGGTGATGCTAAGTGAAACATATATAAGTTGATGGAGAGAGACATATTGAAAAACAAACATATGTAGAGCGACAGGTTGTGGGTATGGAGATAGACATGAGTTAGGGGGATGGATTGAGGATTGATGGATTGAGTGAGAGACATGAGTAAGGAAGATGGAGAGAAAAAGCGAGAGATGCAAGACAGGGGATAGAAAGAGTGACATGTAAAAGAAACACTTCATGTACCATAACAGCTTGATGTAGTGGTTAAAACCTAGAGTGCCCGGGCACCCTCCCAGGATACGCAGTTAAACCTTTTAAGAACAGTTTAACAACTTACAGCATTCTCTCCTTCCAGGACCTTCTGCACTGAGCCAAGAGTCACGCTCATTGGCTGAGAGTGTTCACCTGATGCTCTTTGCCAGTTTGTCCTGCACCAACAGGCTTATCTCAGCCAGTCAATGTCCTCATTTGATCTGTATTGCATTTGAAATCCATGCGAAGAGGAAAGTGGACAAAAAACAAAAAAACATAACAAGAGGACAGTGACTTGGTGCGGAATGGAGTCACATCAGTAGCGCACCTCACACTGATCTCTCAATGGCTGAGTATGTTCTCAGAGTGCATCTGATAAGGAACTTGCTTTGCAAAAAGACAGGCTGTGGCTAAAGGGGTAGAGATATGATGCAAAACTTTCTTCTTTTAGATCTCATGGGTACAGTGATTTTAGTCACCTTTTCTCACAAGCCGCACCGGTCTCGCCAATGCTGGCCCCACATGGCAATGATTTCAGCCAATCCAATGCTTTTCCATAGGAAATAATTGGGAGGCTATTGTGCATGTGTTGCAAAATGCCACGCTGCACCAATTAGCATCTTTAGATTTTTTTAAAACATTATCTTATCTGATGACAGTGTTAATTAATGTAAGGGTTGTCATTTAAAATAAACACAAATACAAAACAAGCGGTGCATGTATTTCATTTTCATTTAAGTCTCTGATGAAAACTGATGGCTTAACTCCATCTCACAACATTATTCAATTTTTATTATTACAATATATCCTTTCTTTAAAACACAGAGGAATGAGGTAACACTAACCAGAAAAATCCACAGCGCAGACCCCATATTGGTGGTGCCCCTTTAACACCGAAAGAGGCTTGATTGTCTCTGTATCCCAAATATGCACCGTGCTATCTCTGCCCACCTACAAATCAACATGAAAGACAATAAGGAACAGGGCAAGTCCTTTTCAGGGCTAGACCTTGCATAATATATAAGATACTAGTAAGAGGTGTTTAGATAACAAACAAACTACAAAATCAGTGCCAATTACAATGGATGTCACATTATTTAAAAACAAAACAAAAAAAAAGTGATAGAAGATAAAAAAAAATAAAAAATAAAAAAATAAATCACTATCCCGGTTCATGCATGAAACTCATTTAGCCATTTGTATAAAGACTACACAGTAAGAATTTGATGTGCCTAGCATTACCTTTACAGAGTTATTCACTCAAGTGTGAAATTCAGGGAATCTAAAGTAAATTTCAGGTTTTTGGGCCAATCAGCCAAACTGGAGACAAAGCAGTCTTGAAGAATTTTTCCAATGAAGTTATTTTGACCTCTATTGTGGAACATATATTGAAAATCTAAGATACAAAATACATTGCTTTTTTGCATGGATGACAAGGTGTATACTATTGTATAATAATGCAAACAAATGCATTAATGCGCAAATAGACCCAAACAGAGGACAGGGATCCCTGACATTAGGTGTAGATTTTGGGTAAATCACCAATAGACAAATATCGCATGAGCCACGTTTGTCCTGGTTATCTGGATTATGTAGTAATACAGCACTCACAGCGAATGTCAGACTCACCTGACCAGTGGCTACATAGTCCTTCAGTGGATGAATGGCCAGGCAGAGGATATCATCGTTATGCCCTAAATAAAATCGTTGTGTGTTCTGCTGGCGGTTATATACTACGCCAACAGCGGCCACATGGTACACAATCTCACCGGTCTGAGTATAAAACAAATTACTCCGACAGTCATAGCCTCTGTAGCTGCAAAACAAAAATGTAATTTCTGAAAAAGCACAAATCCAGTTATTTCAGGATTATTTTTAAGGGGTTCCTTAATGTTGCTACTAATTCTGCTCAGGGCTAAATAACAGCCTATCACAATATAGGAACTTAACAGGTAACAAGTCAGTCTTTCACTGGAGTACTGTGAGTGGGTTTTTAAAGTGGCTGGATGTTTAAAAAAGTTTGATAACTATAATAATTTCAGACCATTAACAATTTATTATGAACTAATTTTAGCTACATCTACTGTAAACATTGAATGACAATTCCATCCATTTACAGGTTAAAATATATTTTTCTTAAATTACTTTTTATGAAAAATTGACCCACATTGATCTCTGCATTTAATAGACAATTCAGTAAAACAAAAATGATAAGGTGCCACATAATGTAATAAAAGGTCATGTGTATACAAAGTGTACAACAAAATTAAAGAAGTAGGCCTACCCGTGAACGAAATGCAGACGAATGCTGTTGAGTGGAGAACGTTCCCGTCTCTTGGAAGAAGCATTTCTGTGTTTTTCTTTACACTGCTCTTTTAGCTGAGGAAGATCTTCTTTATAGACCTAACATGACGATATTTCATAAAGAGGATTTCTGTTAATAATGTTCCATGACCAGAATATTTGTGATTCTGTCATAGATCTCTGATGGAGACATCTCTAGGGGATCTTCACCAGTGAAACATTCTTGCTGACCAGGAGGAATCAGAAGAGCTATAGCTAGAACATATTTGAATATTTCATAAGCTTTTAAAACAAAACCCCAAATAAGTTATAGGTAATAACTTTAGTTCTGGATATGGCTGGTTCTGTTGGTCTCTGTTTAGGGAACGTTACAAAATGATGGAAGCTCAATGCAGAAATTATTTTATTTTTAAGTTGTATGTGAATGCTGGGACTTGGGAACCCAGAAATTGGAATATACACTCGACGTGTACCTAGACATAAGGCAGTCACATGGTAAATAGGGGAAGTCTACTATGAAATAAGTATATTGAGTAAAACCTTTCCTATATGACATTTTGTTATTTTGGAATAACCCATATACTCTAAATTTGTTTTAATAATTCTTTATTTTTGTTGACCAGCTTGTCTTGCCACAACAGCACCGACAAGCATAATAATGACACAGATAGTACCAGACATTAGCATGTCATGCCACGAAACAGCACAATTTTTGGAAATAGGAAAGAAATGTAGCTATATAATACATGCTAAGCTATGATACATGTATTATATAGCATGTTATCATAGCTTAGATTATGATAGCACTGCTGCCATCTATAGAGAAAAAACTAATTAACTAAACAAGTGAGCATCAACAGGATACTTGTGGACCAAGTACTGGATACTAAAAGCATAAGGTGGGTGAATGAGGGTTTAGGAGTTCATTATTCTGCCCAGTATGAGCCTGGAGGCTTAAAGGAAGAAGCAAAGCACTTGTCCTGTTCCCAATGAGGGAGGCCAGCCTATGCCCACTAACCAATGCAGCCCTCCTGGTGGTGTATTAAGAGACTATTCCTCTCAACTTCTACCCCACTAGCACAGTGCAGTACTTGGTCCACAAGTATCAATGTTGATGGTCTGTACAGGCCCACGGGAGATTCTCGCAGACCGCTAGCTCCCATGCGGAGTACACTCTATCCGGGAATGTAAGCTGTGCTTGGGAAAATTTCCCGATATGGACTGAGGCCCAGGCAGACAACAGTGGATTGCAGGGCTGCGTCTCCTGAGTTGGCCGACAATCTCAGGAGGCTTTAGAGTCGGATTTGGTAACTATTCAAAGCGCTCGGACTCTCCAAATCTGTCAGGATATGAAGCTGCTGGCAGCAGGAATTGTTTGCCAATATTGATCAGAGTCCTGTGATAGAATTAAAGCGGATTGAGCTCAATGTAAATTGAGTTAGCAGGAGCTCCTGTGAAGCAGGTGCGCCCATCTTGGGAGGCCTGGCCCCGCCCCACCAACTATACATTTTAAGATCTCCTGAGCAGAGATTTCTATTCAACTCAAATTACCTACTATTTGGTTAGATTTTTTGTTTATACATAGTAAAGAACTGCAGAATACATCAGGGCTCAATAAATAAATAATAATAATAAAAATTAAAAAAAAAACTCAAAAAACATTCTAGGCCATACCTCCTAACATTTCAAATGTACAAAGGGGAACATTTTAATATTAGGGGTATGAATGGTGGTGTGGCCAACGGGGGGTGTTCTGAGAAATTGTAAGGCACAATTAATGCAACTAAAATGTAATTAATTGCGAACAAGAACAATGTATCTTATTTACACAGATTGATTTATAAATACATTTATTGCATATTAAAGACACATTACTGGGAGTATTATTGCTGTGGAGCTCTGCTACACACTCAGACACACCACTTATATGGAGCTCCTAAAAAAAAGAGGGACATAATGATAGAAAAGAGTGGCAGAGGAATTTGCCTGGAGCTTCCTTCTAAATTATCAGTATTTTAGGAATGTGATAAGTTCTCCAAATAGTAGAAATCAGCACAGAGAAACACCAATAACACAGCCTTACCTGCCGCCGGTAAGTGATCTGGGTCTCTTGCTCAATCTCAGAGTCCAGCTCTGGAACGTCTGATTGATCAGAATCTGACTCATCACTGTTGGAATCGACCAAACTTTCTGATATCAAAAGATGCTTATTAGTTGAAGATGAAGCTCAAAAATGGATTACAAATTCAGCACTAAATATTTTACTACATTTGATTCACAAAGATGGATTTGCATTTTAGAGGTTTTCAGATTTTATCTAAAGAGTAAATCTCCCCAAAAGCAAGACAATTTTAAATGACAGAAGCAACAGAAGAGTCATCACGTCAACTATAGAGTATAGAATAAACAACAGAAGTAGTTCCTCGAGAAGTCTTTATACATATGCAATACTTATGGCGGGCTATCTAAATATTCTAATTCAAAGGGAATGATGAAATTCCTAAATATTGGACCAATGAGGGTGTATCTAGACTAGTTTCGTAATGGCTGTATTACAAAATAAATCTCATTTTCAGATAGTATCCCCAACATAAGTATAATGTAATCTTTGTTTTTCATGACAAGTTCATTAGACCATATTGCAAATCTAACCATGTAATACAAAATAATCTCCTATTTAGATTGTTTCACCATTTTAACTGTGGATTACAGAATCACCACTTCTTAAAGCCATACCACACCCTTAACTATAAAATCCAGAATAATCTCCCCCCCATGTCACCCTACCTTCACCACAGAATAATCTTTTCTTTAAACATTGTGTCAACCACATCCATACAGTACAGAGTACTTAATCGTACTTACACAGAGGAGGCTCACAACAATTTAGCTAACGAATATTTAATAATATCTTGTTTCCACTATAGCCATGCAAAATAATAATCTCTGTAGATGGTGTCACCCACTTTCACTTGATATTGCAGAATAATAATTTCCTTAGGCAGCATCATCACCTGACTCTGGATTACAGAAAAATCAGTTTCTCTGAGTATGTTACCATTTCACTAATGCATTACTGAATAATTCTTTTCTTGAAAGGTGTCACCCATTTAGCCACAGATTCACAGTCACTTGTTTAGATTATATCACCTACTCAGTAACAAATTCTGAACAGTCAGTAAATTGTAAAGATATTTTATAAAATGATCACTTCTCAATACACAATCAACTTAACTTCCTGAACCAAAGATCTTCAAAGAATAGTCACTTGTTCTTCTATAATCCCTAATAAAATATCCTAGCATGAATTCATTAGACTAGGGCTGTGGATTTATTTTCTATAAGCACACCATACAGAATTAAGTACTACCAATTAGCCACCAAAGTAAATTTACAACCGCTTATAAGTTTGCCTCTTGTAGATGCGCCATAATTTTATCTATATTATGGAATTTCTGCTCTACTTGGAGAAACTTTCTGTTGCATGACACAAACCTGGTGGAGTAATTACCTTGAGGTGCAATATGCAGGACATCTTTCATCTTTCGATCAGGAATAAACTTCCACTGAAATACTGAGTGGTCAGCTCCACCTACGGAGATAATCCACTGATAGTCATGTGACCACCGCACACTTGTCACATGGGCTGAGTGACCAAGGTACTTCTTAAACTTTGCACCTATTAAAAAAAAAAAAAAAGATTAAAATAGAAGACTTGGTTTCCATTCAAGTAAGGAAGTTTTGAGTGATCTGTAAACTAAGTAAAATACAATTTCTAGCTCTACAGATTCTTTAACATCTCTACAGCTTCCTTCACAACATTACAGTAACCTCCTTCAAAACAAGTGAAAAATTACTTTTCCTGGTTCCTTTGATATTACATTACTATTCAGAGACTTCATGAATATACTTGTCATATTGACCCCCATAGAGTGAGAGAGAACATGGGGGCTTAGGAAGTGGCCGCTTTTATTTTTACATATTACAAGGAGGGAGCTGCACGCCGGTAGCTCCCTCCTTGTAATAAACTAAATGAACGAATGAACACTGATATTCGGTGTTTGTTTGTTCGTCTGACATTTCTATTCATTCATTTGTCTTTCTGATGAATGAATGAATGGACGAAATTCCCGTCTAAATTTCAGACAATAGCGAATGCCCAAGTGTTTAACTGGGCATGCGTGAGAATTTTACAGCGCTATCTAGTGTGGGCAGTTGACATGTCCCACAGGGCCTTCATCTACCCACACAAAGATGGCGGCGCCCAGGACCTCGGTTTAAAAAAAAAAAGGTAATATGGGGGGCCTAGGGGCATTTAGGGGTGACTAAGGGGGAAATTAGATGTAGTGGAGTCGGGAGGGTTTTTAAAAAATTTTTTAAAAAATGCGGCCATGCCTGTGTTGCTTTAAGGGTTAATTTTTCAGACACGGCTTTTCTATTGTTTGTTGTATATGCCGGGACATGACAGATCCCAGCATGCATTATTTTAAATGGTTTAACTTCACACAGAGTGCCACAGAGAGGACAGCAGATTGCAATGCTTTCTGAAGCAGTACTGAAATTATTTGGCGCCTCTGATCTAGCGAAACCATGCACCCGTTCTCACTAGGCATACCAATCATAGCCAGAAACAGGCTTTTTTTCCTTTCTAATCGAAAAATCATTTAGTATATAGTGCATGCCATTGCCGTCTATGGTCTCCTATGGAAATATGTCCCTTTGTTTCGGAACTTCTGGTATTTGCCATCGCATCAAAGCTCCGTGACTTTGGAAACAGCATTTATTCCCATAAGTTTGCTGAGAAACCAAAGTTCATCATGGTAAACAGGTCAGTAAAGAAAGCTGAATGTTTTAGACAGTGAACTAAATGTATCATATTTTCAAATAATGAACCATAACTACAATAGATGTTGATGTTGATAAGATTGAGTCAAGTTTAGTTATTTTGGCTCCCAAAGGGCACAAGACATTTTTGTTTATTTCAAAAAAACTCAAATCATGATGTTTAATGGAAGCTGAGTGGAAAAAGCAATGCATCTTTCTGCTTTCATGCTGCTAAGTACAGCTTACACGTAAATCATTATTTTACACCATCTAAGGCGAATGATTGAGTAATGATGAAAAATGTGCGCAGCGTGAGTCTAACAGTGTGTCACTTTGCAATTAAATTGATCGAACATTAATGGGAAATCATTAATATGGAACAGAAATGACAATGTAGGACATTACCCGTTTAATTCCGCAAGTTTGAGTTACACCAAGAGTGGCATAAACTGGGAAACAAAAATGAAAGCAGCTTTAACATTAGTAGTTTTAGAGGAAGCAGGGATCTGCTGTATTTTTCTAGCTATAGCTAGATATTGCCAATACACACATTTTGTTATCCTCAGAAGAACATTTCCCAATGTACATTGGCGCTATGGCAGGCTTATGCAAAGTCTGATCATGTACTTTAATTAAAACCGCTTCATTTTTGCCAAGGTTAAGTGTTATAAAGAATAAATAAATTACATTCTGTGAGCTTCGAAACTGCTGTTCAGGGAATGAGTGAGTGCACTTGATCTTACTGTACATACATGCACACACTTGCATGCACTATGAACATGCATATACATTCTAATATATACTCGCTCACACTATTTATTTTTCTTCCTATGAGATCCAGCCTCTATCTGTGCTTGGGACAGTTTGAGTGGTTCCTTTCTCTGGGGTCCAGTGGGAATCCTGGGATCAATGTGCTCTTTCTGAACAGCTCCTATGCGCTCCCTGTAGTGATGTGTTGTCACATCACGGCTGCTAGCAGGGCACCCAAGGAACTCAGCAGAATAAGTACAGGTATCACTGTTCTCTTGCAGCCACCCTCCAACCATCTGGACAGAGTATGTGCTGTGCAGTAAGTATGTGTTTACTCAGCCTTAGTGAAAGTGTGGGGCAGACTGATTGGAGGAGCTCACACTGGGCAAGTTGCCAGTTCTTCTGTCCATGGCAGAGTGTGTGACTGGCCAGTCCCCGTTTAAATTATTTAGCATATTAAATATACTGTTGTAATGTTTTGTTTTTTCCATTTCCTCTCTGCATTAGAACCACTTTGCACAGGTTTTCTATTCCTTTTACAACTGTATAATGTGTTGGACTGTATCCCTATTAACGGAGCATAGTTTCTCTGCAGGGTTCTTATAGCCAGTTTCACAGTTACCCAAAGTGAAACTACTACAAGGCATAGTCTTCAAGGTATGGTTCCCCAAAGTGAAACTACTACAAGGCATAGTCTTCAAGGTATGGTTCCCCAAAGTGAAACTACTACAAGGCATAGTCTTCAAGGCATGGTTCCCCAAAGTGAAACTACTACATAGGTATAGTCTTCCAATTGTTAGATAAATTCCACCACATCAATGACACAGATTGGAAGAACATTTCAAAAGCCATACAGGACATGTATCAGCTATTAAAATTACCTTTTCTCAAACATGGATACCGGAACAGTTTTACTATCCCATAATCATCAGCGGTCACCAGAACCTGCCCAGGATAATTGGCATCTACAGAGTTGACATCATTAAGATTAGAATATTTGGGCCCAATGCCATTTACTTCCAAACCAGAGACACAAGTCCACCTGGACCACTGTACGCCCTTAAGCTCCTCCTTGTTTGAAACATCTTTACCTCCTTAAAAGCAAAGAAATAAACATTAAGTGAGCCTTGACTGTCACAACCTTTAAAAACCATCAATTTACTAAGATATAGAAAGTAGATCAGGAAACGCAGTTCATTATATGTTGACAGACATTTCTGTGCAGAATAGACACAGTCTACAGAAGCAAATAGTGCCCTTAAAGGGACATTATAGTCACCAGAACAACTACAGATTAATGTAGCTGTTCTGGTGTCTATAGTCTGTTCCTGCAGGCTTTTTAATGTAAACACTGCCTTTTCAGAGAAAGTCGATTGGACAGCACGACGTCCTCCCCCGCCTCCCTGGCTGAGATCCTCAATCCAATGCTCTCAACGTTTGTGTTCTTAACACTATAGTGCCCCTTTAAAATCTACTAAAATGTAATGTATACAATTGTCATAAAATACTTTTGGTAAAACTTGACATTTTCCCCTGAACATCTGCTTGGCTTAACAGAAGTTGTTGATACAATGACACTATTCGTGCTTGAGATGCACTGTATATCCAATAGGATTGGCATATAATTAGTCTTAATTCTCCCACTACCAATTGTGTTGATATAACTAGATTACAACATTTGGTGGATTAGTATCTGTTGTGCATTCTATACTCCATTCTACTGGTGTGGCCATTGGTGTTTCCAAAGGGTGACTAGGCATTCTATACAACATTCAACTGTTGCAACCATTTGTGTTCCTAATTAATGATTGAGTGTTATACATAACACTGTATTGTGGCAGTTAGTGTTGCTGAGAAATAATGACTGTGTATTCTATTCAACATTATATTGATGCCGCCATTGGTGCTACTAATTAGTAAATGGACATATATTCTATTGACAGCAACTGGTGGACTTGATCATTATAAACAACTGTCTATTGATGCAGCCAATGGTGCTTTTAATTACCGACTGGATATTTTACAGATCTTTCAACTGATGTAGCCACGGTCCGTTATTGACTGGTCATCTTACAAAACATTTGTTTGTTATTCCTACATTCCTAGTAATGCTGTTCATTATTTGTGACTTGGATTTGTATACAATGTTCTAGCAGCCATTTGCGGTTATTATATCCAATTGAGCATTACACACAGCATCCTAGTGTTGTACCCATTCTTAACTATTCACTGGGTATTCTACAGAACAAATAATACTTATACATGATGGTTGCTATTATGGACTATGCACTCAAATGGATAGTTGTGAACATTTATGCACCATGTTATTGATCACACATCAAGAAGAACATTGAGTTACAATGCTGCTGGGCATTCTATAGAACATTCACTTGTAACAGCCACTTATATTCAACATTACATTACTAGTTAGGTGTTCTGCCCCTTTGTGGTTAATATTACTGTCCAGATGTTCTCTAGGTGTAGTCATTAAGAGCTGATATTACTCACCTGGCATTCTATAAAACATGCGTTTCCCACTGCCGTCATTGGTTTGAAGAAATTTGCTATCTGAAGACCAGTCCATGTGTGTTATGAACGTCATCGAACCTGTACATTCTCCAACTTTTTTGTATCGCTGTATAACCCCGTAGATATCTACATAACTGTCATTGGAACCAACAGCAAGTAAACTGCCATCTGGAGAATATTTGAGTTCATGGATGGCTTCTTTCCTGTCCTTTATATGTACAACCTCGGTCATGTCCCTGTTAGACAACATATTCAGTGACAAATTAGATACACGCTTGTATAGAATGTGTTACAGAAAGTCACACTTTTACTCATTAGCTGAAATCAATACTTTAATATATTGATGCATTAATCAATGTCAGAAAAAATAAAAATAAAATAGAGGACAGGTGGGCATACATCTTTATCCTATATGATTTAATTGAGAGATGAATACTTAAAAATAAACCTTTTGATTTGGAAACCACAAAGGAGAACACAACGAGACAGATGGCAGCGAACATAGATCAATAACACTCCATAGTAATGTCACCGTAAAGATGGGCCATGAAGACCAAGTTTTAACGGCATAGCTATGAGTTAGCTAGAGGGATGCCCTGGAACTTATCCGGGGAACACTCCGGCAGAGGCAGGAAGCACAACTTAAGTGTACAGTCATGGCACCATCCTATTACGGGATAATAAACCACTCTCTCAAATAAATTAAAAAAAAATGTATTTATGTAACTGCTTACCACTGGCTGAAATGTAATCACACTACGTTCCCTACTGCGATAGGGTTGAATATGCACACCCTTTTCTCTTCTGTATCCCGATGTAATGATCTTGACTCAATAACAATTGTCAAATTGAAAAAAAAAATAAACCTTTTTTTATTTTAGTTCCATAGTTAATGATAGCCTGTCCCTTTTCACAGTATTTCTAACAAACAAATCTTCCGAACACTGGACAATTTGTAGGCAAAATATAAGGGGTTCAAACTAATATACAGTATTAAAGTTTGTTTATAAGGATTTGTTCTGGAAACACTCTCATTACCAAAACAGTGTCAAAAGTGCATATTTATTGGTCACCAACTGCAAGGTTGGGCCAGTCTACTCCCCGCAAATCAAATGAGGTTAAAAATTATCAAAGGAACCTTGGCTTAGTGAGTTGTCCCATGAAGTGGATTAATCTCAGAATAACAAAAGCTGTACCACTAAGTAATAGTCCATATAAGATTTGAGCAGCAGATTTACAAATGACGAAGACCATAAAAATTGTATTGCTTGATTGTAATACTGACTACAGAGTTCCAAAGAGCCACAGTAAGCAGTATCACCACAAAAATACTTTTCACCAGGATGATGTGTCTTAATGAAAGTAAATTCCTCCAAATATTTTGAAAACCCTTCGCAGAAGACCAGAAACTGTTAAAGCGGATCTTAATACCGGTGATTTTTTAATGAGATATTAAAGATACACAGATTTTTGTCATGTAGACCAGAGGAGAATTAGACCAAAGGTGAACGAAGAACAGAGGTGAATGTAGACAAGAGATAAATGTAAAACAGAGTGAATGTAAAACAGAGGAGAATGTAAAACAGAGGAGAATGTAAAACAGAGGAGAATGTAAAACAGAGGAGAATGTAAAACAGAGGAGAATGTAAAACAGAGGAGAATGTAAAACAGAGGAGAATGTAGAACAGAGGAGAATGTAGAACAGAGGAGAATGTAGAACAGAGGAGAATGTAGAACAGAGGAGAATGTAGAACAGAGGAGAATGTAGAACAGAGGAGAATGTAGAACAGAGGAGAATGTAGAACAGAGGAGAATGTAGAACAGAGGTGAATGTAGAACAGAGGAGAATGTAGAACAGAGGAGAATGTAGAACAGAGGAGAATGTAGAACAGATGAGAATGTAGAACAGAGGTGAATGTAGAATAGAGGAGAATGTAGAACAGAGGAGAATGTAGAACAGAGGTGAATGTAGAACAGAGGTGAATGTAGAACAGAGGAGAATGTAGAACAGAGGAGAATGTAGAACAGAGGTGAATGTAGAACAGAGGTGAATGTAGAACAGAGGTGGATTTTAGAGATTAACCCAATAAGATGATGTGAATACGTCTTCCTTTCTGCCTTGTGTCAGAGTTATTGGGGTCATACATTCTAAAATAATAAATTACTCTAAAAGAGGGGTGGAGTTCTATAACATGGAGCAACTAGCAGAAACATTCCAGTGGTTTCCATGGTGACTGCCCCAAAATTGCTTTTTACACACAAAGCCCATTGACTGCTGACACATGGGGGTAATTATAAAGAGCAATACTGGGACACTTACATAAAAATGGAGCAATCCCCATAGAAACCTCCAGCTGATTGCTCCATGTTTAGCACTTTACCACATATACATAATTGCCATGTGTAAATGGAACATTGCAATTGTGAGAGTAAGTGTGCATGAGAGGTAAAGGTTGCTATTTACCAACCATGAACCCTGAAATCTGTTAAGCTATGTGTGTCAGTCTCAGCATAACACTAATATTTAAGGACCTTTATATTTTATTATTATTATTGCTGCAACAGATTGAGTGTGTTTGTGTTGATGCATCACCTGACCCGTAGCACAGTAAAAGACCCATCCTTCATTCCAAGAGCGAGATGGATACCATCTGTACTAACGGCAGCGCAACGGATAGGTTCCTCCATATTGCACCTAGCAATAAGGGCATGGTCAATCAGACTCCATATTCTGTGATAAAAAATAAATAACAGAAAAAGAAAAACCTTGTCAAGTTATGGCAACATAACGGTAACATTGTTTAGTACAGGGGTGTTCAAAAGGTAGATCCCAAGAAGTTTTAAAACTACAGCTTCCTTGATGCTTTCTAAAGCATTCTAAAGATAGGAAAAGCATCATGGGAGTTGTACTTCTACAACAACTGGGGTCCTAGCTTTTGGGCAATCCTGATTTAGTAACATGATGGTAACATAGGATCACTAGATCCGCCATGTTTTCCTCGATACATTTCATGTACTGCTCGGCAGAATGCAAAAGTTAGAACTGCTGTCATTATCAGATACAAAAAACTTTTCACACATTACCAGTCAGCATGTAGAAATTATACATGTCCAAGAACACGAGCTATTTCTTGCAACTCTACGGCAACTGATTCAGTGTTACATAAGGATCATAACAAATGGAATCCATGTTTAAAATCAAAAGCACTTATTAATTGGACAGTGTATTATAGTAGATTGCTCAAATTTACAAAACTAGGCTAAAACTCAGAAACTTATTGTGACCTAAACTTTTGTAATTTGTATGCAGTTCACAATCCAAGGTTTTCTGAATCAAGTTGAAATCGCTGAATGGAAGAGGGATGGCAAGGACATTATTAAATTATGTGTAAATAATTATTGGTAAAGGAACATCTTTTATTACTGAAGATTGATCGGATATTCAGCAAAGGTTTTATTGGAGGAACACACATTCCAGAGCAGACAGGGGGTCTTGAAACAGATGGACCTAATATATTGTACAACAGCCCTTGCAAGAACACACCAAAGAAACCCACAAGAATGAGGTCCTGGAAAAGACAGGAAGCCATGGACAAAGCACCAAGAGAAAACCATAGGAGGTGATGGAAAGGACATTGATGGAATGGCACAGAGTTAGGAGAAAAAGATAGGTAGATACAGGACAGTCAGAAATCATGAAACAGAGAATGACAAAAGAAATACAGGAAAATGTGGAACAGATGGGTGGACACAGAACAGTCACGAGGCAGTATACAGATACATAGCTTATTGAATGTGAAAGATAGATCTTTAATTTGTGTTCGATTCCATCCTTCAATCTGACCATTGCCATTTTTGTTCTTGCCAAAGAGCAATTCAGTGATGCTCACTCCTAACACAAGTAAACGCAGAGCATATTACTTTCATTAGCTATGCTAATGTAATCTCCTGAGATGAAACATTGTGACAGGATAATTGAATAGGTCTTGTTCAGGAATCTGGATTTTCTGCTCCTCTCCCCTCATATCCATAATGGATAATGAGCCAGCACAGACCCAGAGTTCATTAACTAGAAAGCCTTTACCTGGAACAGAGAACGCAGAAAAAAAAACTGCGTTTGTCCTGTCTCAGCAAATCCTGGAAGCACTGCAGTACGGCTGAAAGATTCACAGATACTAATTGAATTGTGTTGAGAAAATAAGTAAACAGAGTATGTTCTTTAATGTCAGACAGAAATCAAACTATCCTGAAAGAGCAATTTAATTTCATCATTAATGGATTCTTTCAAAAACCAATAGCAGAAAATTGAACTCTTTTTCATGTTACCGGGATTGGCTTAAAGGAACACTGTAGTCACCAGAACAACTACAGTTTAATGTAGTTGTTCTGGTGGGTATAATCAGTCCCTGCAGCAATTTTCATGTAAACACTGCCTTTTTGTTTACATTGTTCCCTAGGGACACCTCCACTGGCCACTCCTCAGATGGCTACAAGAGGAGCTTCCTGGGGCAGTGCTGCACAGTGTGTAGAACTGACATTCAGTGTCTCCACCCTCTGCATGGAGACACTGAACTTTCCTCATAGAGATGCATTGATTCAATGCACCTTTAAGAGGAGATGCTTATTGGCCAGGGCTATGTTTGGCTCCGCCCCAGCCCGCCTCACCTCCTTGGCTGAGATCATCAGAATTGACAATCTCAGTCAATCCAATGCTTTCTGGTGAGAAAGCATTGTGATTGACTGGAATCAGAATGTCTGAAGAAAGAGGGGAGGAGAGGGACAGTGCCAGCACCAGTAGACTGGAATATAGGTAAAATTTTACTATATTTAAAGAGACAAGGGGGGGCTACATGGTTGTGTTCCTGACCCTATAGTGTTCATTCAATCCATACTAGGTCCCATCTCCTGAAGATCTCACAGTATTGAGATGTAGCGTGACAGCAGATGGAGGAAATATATTTCGAGGCTGATCTGTATTAAACAGGTCTATTCACTAGACATGACTTATGGACGTGGAATATAATATTTTAGGCCCAAATAACTGAACTGGAAAGATCTCACACATGCTTATATTTCCATCTCAGACATATCCTAAAATGTGCAGTTTTTTCCCGGTGAATTCCAATTATGATCCCATATATGTAAAGAGCATTTCACCTAGCATTTATTAAATGATATCCACTACCATATAGTACAGTGTGTTTTTACATTTAGATTATAATATCCATTAAAAATATTGCAGTCAAAACATCTCATTCAAAATGTCAAGAGTTTTGCAGTAGTGTTGTATTTACAGAAGATCAGTGTGAATTTGGAGTGGTCAACCATTTTTAATGTTTCCGCAAGGTATAAGAGGGTCAAGTGCAATAAAGATTTTGTGAACTACCATCATTCCATTAATCAGATGACACACAGCTGAGTGTGATGCAATTACAGTCTATAGTATCTCCAGTGTACAAGGCTTACGAGGCACACTGTTACCCTTTGAGAATGCGGATAGAGTGCTTTGTGTACCTTTATACCTTGTTCTCGGTATTGTTTGCTATTTATGAATATACTGTGCCATTAAAATGACAACATTTAATGCATCCTTTCAATTATGACATTGTTGAAAGTGAATCATGTCTACATTTACATTGGATGGCATGAAGGGCATCCCTTGATTAAATAGTTATATCAAGTTAATTTTAGGACAATAAAATTCCTTAACAAATTCAGTCTATTTTTTTATTCTTCCATAAAATGTATCCTACCTTGATTAGTAAGTTTTATCTATCCAGTGTTAGAATACTATCTGTCTCTGCTATGTAACATAAGTTGACAGTTTAGGTCAGCCACCAGTCAAGTTAGCACGCGTTGTGAGAAGGAAGAGATGTAGAGGGGAACAGACACTTCCTAGACTTGTTAAATTGTGTTTACCAATCCCCTATATTTAATAAATATATTTTATCAGGTCTAATAAAAATAAATAAAAATAGAAATCCACACTTCTATTCTGCAACTGGACATCTCCATCTTGACTCCCTGTTGATTACTGTTATACATGTTGCCTTTTTCTGGCATTGAACATAAAACACAAACATATTCCTAACTCTATCGTTTTAAACTGTTTATCCTATAGTCCCCTCCCCCTCTCCCCACACCATCTGAGGGTTAGAAGAGTGAGTTTTACGTAGCGTTTAGCCCACACCACGCCAGTCTCCATAGAGAAGCTCCGCCTTTTTGGTTTAGATCATCAATGTAGATGATCTCAGCCAATCCAAGGCTTTCCCACTGAAAATGCATTGAGAGGCTTGTGCACACAAGCGGTAAGATGCAGCACTGCACCAATCAGACCCTCTGATTGAAATACCAGAGTTTCACTTGGCTATTTCGGCAGAAGTGCCCCTAGTGGCTGTCAGAGTGACAACCTATAGAGGCATTTTAAACCTGAAATGTAAACATTGCCATTCCTGCAAAACTGCACTATTTTAGTTTCAGGGTTAAAACAGGGACATGGCACCCACACCACTTCATTGAGATTAAGTGATTTGGTTTCCTATAGAGTCCCGTTAATGTACTTTTTTTAGTGAAAATGAAGCATCACATTAAAAAAAAAAAGATTAAACACAATTTATAGGTAATGTTCACTTTCAAAATGTAATTCAATGGTGTAATAGTAAAAAGTGACAATCTCTTATAAGCATTAGGTGTCAGGTGACATTCTGGTTGGACCTTATTAAAAACTTCAGAAAGAATACTTCCAACATAAATTTGCCCTACCTTATAATCTTTAAACAGAATATATAACTCAGAACAAGATTTTGGGAGGAAAAAAAAAAACGTTAAAAACAAAAACATTACAAAAAGGCTATTTGAAGTGATAATTGTTAGCTAGTTGCATGATGCTGTATCAGTGTAGACAGTAGCTCAGGTCCTAACCTCACTGATCGGTCATCACTCCCAGTGATTGCCAGTGGTTTATTAGGATGTACAGCCAGAGCCCAGAGTTCCCCCTCACAATGGCCCTGCATTATCAAGAAGGGCTTATTTCGCTCATGCACCACAATCTCAAAGATTTCACTATCCTGTGTCCCAACCAGGATGTGGTCTCCTCTCCAACACACGCTCCGAACAGATAACCCTGCCAGACAAAAGAAGCAAAGGTCATTCATGGTTATTCCCATAACACCATCCCAGTTCCATAAAACATATGTGTTGAACCCAGGTGAAAAGCTATGATACTTATAGAGAACTGGCATACTTCTGGATGGTTTACTGGGATGAAGAGTACAGTGTAAGCAAGTGTAAAACACATGCATCTCCCCAGTACATCTGGGTGATGAGCTGCCATCTTAACATGACACTAAGGCATCTTCTTCCATAATCATATCATTGTCTGCACACTTGAGCATTCTTTCAGTGGTAACATACTCATGGGCCTACACACACATCATTATGGGAATCAAGTTGATTTACATTGTATGCCAGACGGTGCCACTACAGCCTTGCACATGATATAAATAAAATTAATAATGAATAAATTACAAAAATGCAGTTGCTGTTTAACCAGTGAATCCTGTGGCATTACAAGTCCATTTTACAATGAGATGCTGTCCAATAGGATTAAGGAAATTGGACTCCAGTATTAAATGCAATATTCAGACCTCATTTTAGGCCTGAACTATTGTGCACATATCAAAATGTAACTCGCTAAAATAAAACTATTTAGAACACAAAAACAGATGAATGCTAGTCTATTTCCAACAAGTAATGATCAGACATCCCATGCTTTATTTTATTAGGTGACTGGTCAAAAGAGCCTACATTTTCACATTAAGCAAAAATATCTATTTCTAAAATTTCAAATGACATATACCACAGCCTGACTAGCTGAAGGTGATGGGAGTCGTACTCAAAACACTGAGGAAAGGAGGTTCTCGGTACTGCAAATTGTAACATAGATCATATATCTACATAATATATTCATATTTCATATTACTCGTGTAATGAAATAGATTTCTACACAATTCTGAGAATATAAAACTACAGCAGAAATAATGCAGTAAGAAAAGTCAGAAAAACAAACATTAAATGATCAAATTATTTTAGAAAAAACTTGTTTTCCAAAGTGGGCTTAGACAGACTGTGTCTGTTATTTTACATATTATGTAGCCTGTTTATTAGATTATTTATTCCAGTTTATACAGTGTACAGCAAAAGTAATATAGGATGATTGGAGATGTACTTTATGATTAGATTCACAGTCTCAGATGAATAGTTTAATCAGAACATGATGAAAAATTCAGCTCCATTCATTACTGAATGAAGCATGGCATACAGACACAAATGTTAGATAATAACATGCTGGTTGTTCCGAATATGGGTTACACACAATAAACCTGAAGTTACCTACCCATTGAAACACAGGTAATTCTCATCCGGCCAAAGCCATCCCCATCACATATAACCAACAACAAGTTTATCATTTCTATTTTCCGACCAGGTTTCAAAGTGTGAATTTAAAGGAACAATATAGGAACTAAGACCACCTGAGTCATCGTCCCAAGTCTCTTTTTAATAAACTGCAATAATTGCCTTTGTGGGTTAACTCCACCTCTAGTGGCGGTCTATCAGACCAGAGGGACTTCCAGGTCGTTAGGCAACTTTTGGTCACCTGACGCCAGACGTCCTTATGCATAGCGTCATGTAAAATCCCATAGGAAAGCATTATACATGCTTTCCTATGTGGGAAATACTAATGCCAGCGCTTTAGGACTCCCCCGCCGGATGATGTCGGTATGAAAGGAGCAGAGGCAAAGCCCGAACTAGAGCTGAGGGACTTTGGCTCTGGACTCAGGTTATTGACAGAATGGTATTCTAAGCCCTTCTGTGCTCTGGGAGGGGGGCAGCACAGGGGGGAACTATAGAGAGCAGTGGGGGTATAGTAGACACCAGACCCCTGAGTTCCAGGAAGAGCTATCACTGACTATCTACCATTCTTTCCTTGGAATAAACTGTGGCGGTGGGGAAAGAAGATTTATGACTCTGGTGCCACAGATCTCTTCTAACTGCTCCATATCTGAAATAAGGCCCTCGGATATGTTTTATTGTGTTATATCATGGAACTTTTGGTTTAGTTTGGTTTGGAACAGAGTGCTCTACGAAGGGATGGGTAGGACTAGGAGAGATCTGAGCAGTTCTGGGTGCAGACCACCTTTCAATTAGATCCCCATAACATCTACACCCCTTGAGGAAGTAAATAACGGGGTTTTCCTTCCCACTCAAGTTCCTGCATTTATAATACAAACACAAAGATATGTGTTGGCCGTCATTAAGTTATAAACAGATGTCACCTTTGTATCCTTGGTCTGTTTCCCTGAGATCAATCACAGTAATTGGTTTAAAATTTAAATCCCACAGACGCACACAGCCGTCTCGGCCACCAGTGGCAAAGCCCTCTTCGCACGCATTCATACTGAAGATTCCTGCCTGGGAAGCAAAGAGACAGTGTTAGAAGCTAGATCAGGGAGTCCAGCAGGTTGACAAGATTGCATCAGAATAATTGGTTTATAACCACAGAAACCCAGAGGACCATAAACAAAAGATAAAGGATCATATCGGAGCCAAAGTTAAACCACTAGGAACCACTGTAGGTGTTCTAATTAGAATCCTCTCTAGACTTTATAGTATATATACACACATACAAGATCCAGCGTACTCACTCATTCACTAAACAGCAATTTGAAAGCTCACAGAATGTAATTTTTTTTAAACATCTAACAGAGGCAAAAGTAATGGGTGCTTAGTTACAGTATATGATCAAACATTGCATAGGCCTGCCACAACATCAGTGTACCCCTATTATTCACATATACACACAGTTATCTGCAAAACCATAAAGTCTGCTAAAACTAACTACCTACTATCCCGTTCCCCTGAGATTAACAATAAAGGGTCAGGAGAAAGCAGACTAATTTAAGAGGCTTCCAAAAACTTGTGCAAAACTCAGCAACTGGTCACCTCAAATCTCCTTTGGAAAGTTGGGGTTTGTGAAAAATAGTTGATGTCCCCAGGGCCAGGGAGGACTGCCATACTTGTGTCAAAGAGTGAAAGACTTCTTAAATCAAGTAGGAATCAAGCAAATCCTACTCTTAATCATATGGAACAGTGGGAGGGGGGAGGAGGAGGAGGAGGAGGAGGAAACAGTTAAAGTAACACTCTAGACACCTAAAGCACATTAGCTTGCTAAAATGCTTTATGTGAAGCTTGTGTACACTTTATTTTTTATTTTACAAAAAGTTCAGAT